TGGCTGATTTCAATCATTGTCTCTGGGAATATTTGGTCGTTCGCTTGCGATGCCAAACAATCCTCGGAGGAAATTAAGTCCAAGGCTCGTGGAAGCTAAAAGAGATGAACAAAAGGATGGATTCCCTCAATTAAGGCAAGTGCATTATGATGCTTCTATGTGTCAAGGTTCATATTCTAATAGGGACGATTGTAATTATAGTGAATCTAGTTGTGATATAATGGCAGATGGAATAGAAAACCTTAGTTTAGACGTAAAGCAAGCGAAAAGCGCGATGCCTATGGCACCTTTCGTAGGTCTAGAGTTACCAAAGGTTGAGTTAAGTTATTTGGACGGTCAACCTAGAGGTTATTGGAGGTTTTTAAGGGAGTTTGAGACCTATGTGGAATCAAAGGTCAAGGATGATGATCAACGCTTGCTTTATTTGATACATTATTGTAAGGGTAAAGCGAAAACAGCCATTGAGGGTTGTATTATGTTGGAAGCCTCTTCTGGTTACAAGAAGGCCAAAGAGATTCTAAAACGGTTATTCGGACAGGCGCATGTAATCGCTCGAGAGACACTAGAAGACTTATTCAATGCCGTGAATTTTGATTATACTGATGGAGAGCAACTAACAAACTTGGCTATTAAAATGGAAAACTGTGCTATGATCTTGTAGCAGATGAATTATGTCTCTGATCTAAATTCCTTAGTTACCTTGGAAAGAATAGTGAGACTCTTGCCTCAGCCTATGCAAACCCAGTGGGCGGACTGGGTGGACGAATTGACTGAAGATAACAGAGAACCGACCTTTGACGAGCTCACTCAGTTTATCGCATCGCGTGCGAGAGTGGCTTGTAGTATATTTGGACGGTTAGAAAATCGTTCAAGAAAAGGACATAACGTAAAGACGAACTGTCACGTGCAATCGGAGCAAGGGAATAGTTCGACAACGAAAACTAAGTGCAGTATGTGTTCCTACGACCATGCTATTGATAAATGTTTACAGTTCTTAGCGCATACAGTTCAAGACCGATGGTCTCACGCTAAAAGCAAGGGTATCTGTTTTGTCTGTCTTAGACAAGGACATAAGGTTAATGAATGTAAGATGACAAGGCTCTGTAACGTTGACAGTTGTGAGAAGAGACATCACGTTCTGCTGCACACTGACTCGACAAGCAACGTCGTAAATGATAAGCCATCATGCCCGGAATGTAGGAGAAGAGTTGTTAACCATACCAGTAAGGTACAGACATTAGAGAACGAAATACGTGAGCGTTATGATGTAGAGTTTTCAGATGCTTATTCAAGTGATAAATCATTATCAGTAGACGACAAGGCGGCTATAAAGATTGTGGAAGGGGGCACGCGCTTCGACAACGGTCATTTTGTGGTTTCTACACCTTGGAAAAAGAATCCAAATATGAAAGTGGATAATTATGAAGTAGCAAACCGTAGATTACAAAGTTTGAAGGGTATGTTGTTGAAGGATGCCAGTCTGCACATCAGGTATATCAACAGTATTGAGAGTAAATTTACTAAGACTTATGCGGAGAGGGTCCTTGAAATATATTTGCAGCCTAATTATCGCCCTCGAGGGTATCCACCTCATCATCCAGTGTTAAACATGAAGAAACCAGAAGAACTTAGAGTGGTCCTTGATTGTGCCACCGAGTTTGCAGGGGTTTCCATGAATGATATGATTTATCAAGAACCCGATACCACTGCTGAGTTAATGTACATATTATTAAGTTTTCGCAAGGAGACAGTTGCAATCCCTGCAGATGTTGAAGAAACGTTCATGGAAGTGAAGTTCCCTGAGTCTGATCGAGGAGCTTCAAGATTTCTGTGGTGGCAGGAGGGGGACATGTCGAGGGAACCATCTGAGTTTCAAATGACAACTCATGCATTAGGTGTCACATCATCGCCGTTTCGTGCGAACTTTGCCTTCAATAAGACCGCACAAATATTCTCTGACGATAGTGAGTTTCGAAAAACTGCTGTGGTTAACTTGAGTAGTATAAAGTACAACAAGACACCTGTTCTCTCTTATTATTCCGAGTGGATGAAATTAGTCAGAGCTGTAACCTGGTTTAGAAGGTTCATCGAATTCCTGATGGTACTTCGTTTACCGAGTTGTGAAGGATCCGTTCATCTAGGATGTTTAAAGGTCAAAGAGCTTGACATCGCCAAGCGTAAGATTTTATTGATGGTTCAGAAAGAAGTGTATGGAGAAATACTTAGTGGATTTAAAAACGATGGTAAAGTAGTTAGTCACAATAATCTGAAAGGCTTATCACTGATAATGCTTGATGGGTTACTCTGCGTTGGAGGTCGACTAAGATACTCAGATTTCCCAAATGCTTTTAAACATCCAGTAATTTTACCCAGTCGACACTTAGTGACGGAAATGATAATTAGACATTGTCCTAAAGAACAAGGACACATAAGAAGATCATTAGAAAAAGGGTATGGATATGTGTTTACTTGTTTGCAAACATGGGCAGTACATATTGAAATGATGTGTAGTTTGATTACTGATTCATTTTTAATGGCCTTATTACGTTGTATTGGAAGAAGAAGGAAACCTCCGGAGATTTACAGTGACAGTGCGTCAAGCTTCGTGGTGACAGTTTCTGAGTTAAGGAAGTTTGTGCAACAGTCGAATCAGCAGAAGATAAATAGCGAATTGTCAGCGAGGCCCTCATCCAACAGCATGGGTGGAGTTTGGGGGAGAGTGACTAGGTCTATACCACGAGTGTTATTGTTGAACACCAGAGAACAAGTGAAACAGATCTCCTTGAAGCTTCGGATTAGTCTTTGTTGTCATTAATGTAGGTAGGTTGAGTAGGCGTACTGTTGTAAGTCCTACTCGTTCCTATGGTGTTATATGCTACATAATGAACCATGACCATAGGCATCAAGGTAGCTTGTGTGATATGGAGGGATTTTGGGGGCTGGTGTTAGATCCATTTTGAATGCTTTGTGTGTTTGTGAAAATCCCTCCATGTATATACTTGCACTTTGTTCCTATTGATCCTCATAGTTGTATATTGTTAACTTTTTGGCTACATTTGAATTGTTAATATTTGTATTTTATTATAGTTTTCGTTTTTACTACACCTTCACTAATTTACCATGTTTCTTCCCGAACTGCACTTATGTTGTTTTACTTTATACTAAGTCTGGGCGGCAGCCATTTTGGTTTGTTCCCGCTTTTGATTGCTTGACCTGTGTTGACTGGAATTGTGCATTTTGGTTGTGAATTGAAGCACTCTTCCAGAATTGAAAACTCTCTGTGTTATAGAGCGACCAATTATTACCTTTTGAACGAATCTGTACTTGATCTATCCAGCCAGGATAGAATAACAGTTATTTGTGGTGATTCTTTAGATTTGATCAATTGAACAATTATTGATTGGATAGCTGAGTGGTTATATTTCTTTAGATAATAATGTACACTTAAATTTATGATAAATTATAGAACCGCTATCTTGCCCAGTTACTTTGTTTTGGTTTCAATCGGGCGAGCGCGCGTATCTAACTCATCCAGACAGCTGTCCTTCACTCCAAACCGTAGTTTGGATCTTACAATATGGTTCTCAGATTTTATTGAGATGCTCTGTAATTTTGTGCTCAAATGAATTCGATTGTCCCCAGCGGTTTTCTTGTTCACTACAGTCTAGTCTATATTTATAGCTTCTGAAGGCATGTGCTTGCTGTTGTGAAACGTCTCATGAGTCTAAAGCGAATAACAACGTTCAGGGTTGAAATAGCCGAGTGCAATAATCATCAAGATGACGGTTGGAAGTTTCGTTGTTCGTATTTGTGTATTCGAGTGATAAAATCCGTATGAGTTTTACATAAGCAAAATCATATACCTAAAAATGCCACAGGTACTCGGAGTTTGACAACTCTCTTGTTTGTAAAACCCTTATAGTCGAATGATACCGACCTAGTTCAATCATTAATTAAGAATGAAGGAGTTTAAGGTTATATATGGTGTAGTGTCAGTTATTATGTTAAGCCTATATATCTTATTTTAGCTTTCGGACAGCCCCTTCTATTCATTCTACTTGAGTCACATTCTGACCTTGTTATTTGTTCGCTTATCAATCTTGACTGTTTTTGTATGAGCGCGTAGGTGTGTGTACATTTCTTATCCCATTACTCATCACGTGTCTGTAACTTACTTTTGTGTAACTATAAATATTGATTAACGCTTAGTTAAATGGGAGTTGGCTTACCAGCCATCTCCATTCTGCGTCGTTTCTCTTCTTTCTACTCCATTCGCTCTATATACAACACATATGTATTCACAAGTTCATTCTCGTTATTCGACTTATTTAATTCAGTTATTGACTAACGCGATTTAAGTCAATGATAATATACGAGAATAAGCGATATATATTGTTCAATAACAATCATTCACACGATCGAATTAAAGTCAGATCAACGGGCCACTAAAGTGGAGAGCCCTTTCAACAACATCGTTCGATCTAAATGACGATTAGATAACGGGCCTCCACAATAGGAGGTTATCTATATGCTGGTAAGTGTCTGATCTAAACTGGCTAATCGTCGCATGGGATGAGTAGCATGGCTTACCCACCCTCGATCTGCTACGGATGAGTGGTTGATCACCATCAGCTAGGTTGTGTCCATCAGAGCGGATGAGGTGGATTTATTTACCACCACACACCGAATTACAACGTCAATAAGACTAGAATGATCCTGATAATTGATGATGTCAAGAACTAAGCTTGCAATACTTTCCAAAATGTAGTACTTATAATTCCGTTTCAGTTAAATGATTGTCTTAACTTTAACCTCGGAATTTTGGAATTCCATGGGTAGGTAAATTATAAAATTCCTCACTGTCTAAAGTAGCCCAGTTAGTTTATGACGATCTCTTGATGAGCGAACTTGATATACTATAAAGACTGAGAATGACAACTGAATTTACTATATTGTTCAATTTCATTGGTCTACTTGTCGCAGATGCTTGAATCCCTCTTTGCAAACATTGAAGACTCCTTTCTGCTGGACAAGAAAACTTGTTAGGTGCAAGAGTTTTACATTCTGTCCATAACTACCTGAGCTTTGTGAATGGATACAGGTTTCAATAACTAATGTTTATTGCTTTCTGATTTTGCGCCACATACAGCGTAACAAGGTCATCTCTATTCCTTGTAAGGAATTAAAGTTGGGTTTATCATTTACGAAGTGGACTTTGCAATGAACATTAAATTAATATCGGCCCAAGGTATATGTAGCCGCAATATCTATCGACTTTTGAGGAGGAATTCAGCATCGCAAGCAATAAAGCCGTTCTTTTATCAAGATATATTGCAGTTGGAGAAACCACCATATGCAGACACACCTTTTCGAAAGCTGACGGGTTCGTAGGAGTATTTTTAAATACTCAGCGCATTTATAGGGGATCTGGTTTCTTTTAAGGAGTTTGACAATATACGGCTTCTGAAAGTCGATTCGTTGGCACTAACGTTATTGTCCGAGCAAGCCATGATAGACGTTGCTCATCTGCTAAGACCTGCTCACCTGCAAGTTTGTTTATCTTTAAAAGTAATTACAATATATTTCAGTCTCTTTCAAATATCCTCAAGGATTCTGAGGCATCTAGCAACGATAAGTTTGTCGCACTTGAACTCCTGAAGAATGCCAATGTCGCATGCGGCATGATCCTACCTGGTTGTCAGGATACTGGCACGGCTATATGTATGGGGAAAAAGGGTCAGTTCGTCTGGACAGATGGGGATGATGCAGAATCTATTTCACGTGGTGTATATAATACATACACATCCAAGTTCCTTCGTTACTCTCAAGTATGTAAGTTCTCGCATGCTTGTGTTTAGAAACCATCGTGAAATACTTTTTCATCCGGGGTCTGGGATTATCCGGATGAATGTACACAAAAGTTTGGGAACCATAATTTGCAACAGTGAAATATACGTTTACTTATCACGACGGTTACTGCTACCTTGACGTGTTGGTCGGGCTTGCCTATCATGACGGACCATTCGGGGTTAAACTGGCTGGAATATTTGTTCCTCAAGGTCCTACCATGCCAGATAGGTCCTTTAAAGATCAACAAGATTAAAAACAGCAAACCCGAGGTCCGAGGGTGAAGTCATGCTGCTGACTGTACAAAGGTGTGTCGGTAGTAATGTGATTCCCTCAGAAAACCGGCATAACAGTAATGTGGCCTTCCTACAAGGTATGGTGAAGTTGGAAAAGGTTGACATTAGAAATGCATACCTTGCATTGTCCCACGGATTTTTGTCTCCGGTGGTAAGGTCGCAGTGAATACGGAGCTAACATGAAAATTACTCTCAAAAATGTCGTGTGTAACCAGCCTCAAGTAGTGCCCCTTGGGTACTGCGGTCACGCTCTCAGGTCACTAAGACCATCTTTAATCCAATCTCTTTTTCAGGTACCTCTACTAGGACCCTTCCACGGTGTGGGCAACTGAGAAGGCAAAACTACCCTCATACCTCTAACAGCACTCAAGACCAGACCTTTATTATCCAAAGTCGGTAACTTACATATAATTCTTAGGCTTAGAAAACCATTCATTGACTGTCAACCGGTATTGGAAATGGTTGGAAGAAAGTTAGGGGCGGCCAAACCAAAACGTGGCATCAGTGCTTGAAGTCACTAACTTCTAGTCTGAGCCATGTTGGTAGATGCAGACTACTTGGTTGGGGTCTGCGTGACTATCGTAACCAATGGTTGGAGACTCTTGGTGACATGGCTCAGAATCGATCACAATGGCGCCGGTGTATACACTTCCTGTCTTCCCTTAAACTAAGAGATTAAAATCGCTTCATATCTTTCTTTCTACGAACCAATTCTTTCTTCTTGTACTATATCTCTATATGCAATCTTTCTCCTACATATTACTACCTTTGACCTAACCACTGCTATGAATCCGGTGTTCATCTTGTTGTGCTGATGCGGTATGGCAACCTGGACCGATGCACATATGTGCCTGGTCCTACGTTGTAGCTGACTGACTGAACCTCCTTAAGGCAAAGCTTCAAAGGAGGAGTGACAATATGACCCTCCATCGAAGGCACTTTTGTCATAAGTCTTACTATTTGTATGGTGACGGGCTACGTTCTCAATACTTGTAGACACTTTTGATTGTAGATAGGTAGGGGTTAAGAATTAAGATTAGTTCTGCATGTCATCTACTCTTACAATCTGAACCTTGCTGACCTAAACGTCATTCATAATTTAACCAAAAATTACCAGTTCTTATTGTGTTCACTTTTTCGATTGTTAAGGGTTTCAGTGCAGGTAGCTCACTTGTGGTTGAAACCTAAAAATTCAGTAAACGTTTAACTTCCTTGAGTTTAGTCCTATGTCACTTGTCTTTCAATCCTGCGTTATTCTTGGGAGCAGAGCATATCTACTGTCGTGATTCATCGATAGACAAACATACAAATCTCTACTAGTCAATCGAGTTCGTTGTTTTGGGTGACTTTATTTTAAGGAAGGTTGCGTTCTACATGTTTCATCACTGAATATGTATTGTTAGTTTTGTGTTTTATTATCTTACGCAATTCGTTTTTCTAAGACCTCTTTGCCTCTCCATTAGGTTGCTCCGCTAGATCTGTTTACGGAAAAAAACACTTGCACTAATCTACCAGCACAAATTGAAATATATTCAACGAGCGGCAGCGAATACAATTTTTTATTTGTTGCGAAGGGTGGAGGGTCTGCCAATAAAACTTTCTTGTATCAACAGACAAAGGCTCTTCTCAATCCTAATAGTTTGTACTCATTTGTCAATGAGAAGATTAAAGTAAGTTAACAGTTTTCTCACATCATTTTGTAGACGTTGGGAACTGCCGCTTGTCCTCCGTATCATTTGGCGGTTGTTATTGGTGGGACCTCAGCTGAATTTACTCTAAAAACTGTGAAGCTTGCATCATGCAAGTACTTGGACCATCTTCCGTCAACAGGTCTGTTTGTGTTTTTTTCGCCAGTCAGATCACGGTTTCCCAACTTCTCATGTTTGAAAGTGGTACCTTGATTATGTTGGAAAACAGGACTTTAACTAAATACACTAACGTGCCATTTTATCAGACTAGTTCTTTGGTTAAAGCAAAAACACGAAGGTGACATTTTTGGGTGGCATGAAATGACCCTGCTGTTACTGATGTACAAAGCACTCATAATTCCTATGTAATATTTGGATATCCATAAAAACAAACCTAATCCAGTCTTCAAGTGATAACTGTAATAAAACTATTCATTTTGCCATGATGTACAAGGAGCGCCTCAGTGTTATAGTCTGTGAATTACAACAACGGTTTTTTAAAACCAACTAAACATGTTATTCCTCAAGTAACCATTGCTTAAGTAGTTTCTTGTACTGACATAAACTCCTGGTTCATTTATGTGTTCCTTTATGCGGTTATTATTTGATTTTTTCATTTTACCAAGTGTGTTTTTGCAGGAGGGCACTAAAAACGTGATTCACACAAACGGAATTGATGATACATCCACGGTATACATATATCCTGTCATAGTATGGGCAACTGAAGTGTGAATTATCAGTTGTTAGTGACTTCATGGACCGATGCTACGTTTTGGTTTGGTTGCCCCTAGCTTTCTCACAGCCTACTCCCGCATCGGAAACAGCGCCCGTCAGTAAAAGATGTAGCGAAGAAACTGTATCCTTATGCATACCCGAAAATTTCTTTTCAAGACATCTTTTCCACTCTGTTTACTGATCCTGTGTTTTGTTCAGTATTTAACAGATAATTGCATGTTAAATCTAGGTAATGAACATGGAAGAGCTTTTCGTGATCGAGAGGCTGAAGAAAAAATATTGGAATTAACTCGGAAAGTTGGGATAGGAGCACAGTTTGGGGGAAAATACTTCTGTCATGATGTACGGGTAATCCGCTTGCCCAGACATGGAGCATCATGTCCCGTTGGTATTGGCGTCTCTTGTTCTGCAGATAGGCAGGTATTTTATATCAAAACCACCGTTTTTGTAGACTTTCTTAAATTGCTTTTACTATTTAGTTGAGCAGTAAGAAAGCTCAATGAGAACTGACTGGACTTTAAAGTTTTATTAATAATTCCTGTAACATTGTGAAGTGCGACTACACAAAATCTAATCGTATTTTCATTTATATAACTGTACACAACATATCTTGTTTGTTAGCCGATATTCTGTTCCAGAGTTCTGCCTGATTTCTGTTTATTATGCTGAATTTAATTATGCCGGGTTCCTCAACTAAGAAAGGAGAGTTGTACCTATGAAGCAAGTAGAAACATTTAAGTACATGAATTCATATTGCAGGACATATCTACTAAGCATAAGTAACATCACTACTAAAAGTACCTCGTAACAATATCTACAACTGTTTCCAAGTGTTCCAATAGTTTAACTTCTGTTAATATATTTTGAAGCTCATTAATCTGTGTCTATATTGACTTCTGTTTTACTTATTTCTTCATTCATATCTAATATCTTCCAGTTATATGGAAAACTTGTGTAGACGCCTTTCTTAAGTGAGCTCCCTTTGGAAACACATATTAACGCAGCTTAAGGTTCATGGGCACATGTTTACTTTGCCAAACTCATTATTTTGTAAAACTGATTATCAGTTTTCGTGCTACTTTTTCGTGTATTGTTGTGCAATTACAAATAAAGTAGTGTCGGCCCTTCGTTGTGTATTTGGCAACGACCGTTATCAAAAAGTTACATCAGTTGTGATTAGTCAACAGATAATCTTTTATTTGAGGGCCGTACGTTTTCGTTCATGATATTTCGGACTGCATTTAATCAGTATCTCTTGGGATATGTGCATCCTGAATGACTCGCTTTACTCATTAACCTAGTGGATAATGTGTTTGCATTTAAAGCGATTGATACTGGTTTTAATTATCAATGTAAGCATCAACACTACGTTTCAGGTATATCCAACCATTGGGTTTTAACTCGGATAAAACTTGTGCTTTGTACTTCACTGCTAACCAAAATCTGAAAATATGCCAGGGAATCTTCCATTCAGTGGTTAGCTGGCTTTTAGAAAAATATTTATTCATTGGATCCTCTCTAGTTTTTTTTCGAACGACGGTTATTTTTTTAAATGAATGCTGTTCGAATCATTACAAATCTGTGTGCTGTGATCAGGTATTCAATCCCTTTTAGATTCTGGGAAGAATAACTAATGACGGAGTTTTTCTTGAGCAGTTAGAAAGTGATCCATCTAAATATTTACCTGATCCATCTTTTAATCAACTTCCGACTGATGTTGTGAAAGTGAATCTAAATCTCCCAATGAAAGAAATTTTAGCTGAACTTTCTAAGTACCCAATCAAAACTCGTTTATCACTAACTGGGACTTTAGTTGTCGCTCGTGATATCGCCCATGCAAAGATCAAGGTTAGTTTTCGAAATAAATCGCTGTGTGTTAAGTTTTCCGTCTGTGAAGTTGTTTCAGTATTTTATGCCTGTCTACATAGTGTTTTCGGCAAAACTAACTACAGTCCAAGATCTGTCTTACACGTTTTGATTTGCATTGTGCCAGTGCTGCAGAAATTGCCGAAACTGATAAATTTTATCCTGTAAATGTTAGTTTTATGGATGCTTGTTGAATAATCCATCATTTCTTAGAATTCCAACCAGAATCAGTCAGAAGAGGGTCATAATTTATGGGCAAATCAGTCAGATTTGAGATTGCGACTCATGGATTTTGGCTCGAAATTTATCCATATGGATACATAACATTTTGGGATTATAGGTGATGCCAGTTCACGACTGAAATTCTAATTCTCGACTCCTAGTTCTAATTCCTCACACTAATTTATAACCTTATTTCGACCCTGATTTCTACACTGTGTCTGATTGACTTCGACTCTAATAAGTGGTTGAAGTTTTTCAAGGCCAATTTAGTATAGCTCAAAGGTCGTCCATAAATTATAGTCTAGCCCCGCCTTCTTATATCCTCTCGGTTGTCGGGGTCTGGATCGGAGGTTTATTATGAGTGTACTCCGAATTTGGTTGTTTGCCAAGGTAATACGCAAGGTAATGACTTTTGATAAAGAGTAATCCTTAGGACATCATTTTTTCAGTTAGTATACAAAATTTGCATTCCGCAGAACTTGGCGGAGTGTGAAGTGTTGACCAACCAGTCTTCTTTTTGGTTTTTGAGTTCATGGTAGGTAATCTTGTAAAAATTCCGTCTACCTATCTCCCTATCGTTAGTATGACGAAGTAGGCTTGACTTCATTTCATTTTCTGACTGCTACTACCTTTAAAAATTATCAACTCAATCATTATACCCACAGTTGTTCTTGGGTTTGATGTTTGAATATTTCTGATTTTCTTGCACATAGGCAACTTTTGAAGTTTAATGGATTCATAATTTAATGGTTTCTCCAGTATTTAGCTATGGTCAGAGGTTAAACATTGATCTGAATAAGACAGTATGATCATAAGACTAACTCGGTTGGTATTTTAGCACATATTATTTCCAAACGATTAGATAAAGCACTTTAATTAGATCTACTAACGTTAATAAACCCCTTATATAATCCCATGTACACTAAATTCCACACGATTAATCTTTTATTAACTGTAAAGGAACGTCTTGATTCTGGCCAACCAATGCCTGACTATTTACGTAATCACCCAGTATATTACGCTGGTCCAGCTAAAACACCTATGAATTATCCTAGTGGGTCTTTTGGACCAACCACAGCTGGTCGCATGGATTCTTATGTTGATCAGTTTCAACAGGCTGGAGGAAGTATGATTATGTTGGCCAAAGGTAACAGATCAAAAGCTGTAAGTCAGTGTTTGTTAACATGTGAACTTGTCTTGTTAACTTACTGCAGAATACACTTGCTTTTTTTAAATATTCTGAACTGTTCTACGTAGTCACTTATTTCACTCAGTAAATAATATTGTCTTTTGTGATATGATTATTTTTGGCAGCTCATGTATTTACAGATCATTTAATCAACAATCGAAAACAGTGTTTAATAAAGTTTCCATTGTAGACTGTTACTGAACTGATAGAACAGCTGAAAATATTTTCTCATTGTACAGACGGAGTTGACCATACACAATTCTGGATAAAGGTGCTCGTGTCGTATTGTTTAGTATACTATGTTTTACGATCAGGCGAACATTGAGTTAACGTCAAAGTGCTCCTGATTATTATAACATATTCCAGTCTTTGTAGTGTAACAACTGTCTGTCTCACTATCAGCGTTCATACAACTTTCTAGATACACAAACTTTACTCTTTTCATTGGTTAATTATCTACACTCACTTCAAGTACAATACTTTTCTAATTGATAATCAAACACTATTTCTGCAAACTCATCGTCTACTGTACAACTAGGATTTGATTAACACCCATATAGCCTCACTTATAATATAGTGGAAAAGTCGATAGATGCAGACTACTTAATTTGGGTCCATGTGGCTATCGTAACCAATGGTTGGAGAGTGGGTGACATGGCTCAGAATCGATCATAATGACGTAGGTGTATACACTCTCTGTCTTCTCTTAAGCTATGAGATTAAAATTGCTTTATACATTTCTTTCTGCCAACTAATTCTTTCTTCCTGTACTATATTTTTATATGCAATCTTTCCATATATTTCCACCAATGAATTTACTACTTCTATGAATTCGGTGTTCACTTTGTTGTGCTAATTTGAACCGATGCATATATATGCCTGCTCCTACGTTGTAGCTGACTGACTGAGTGGGAAAGTCTGTCTTGTTTGTTGATAATAGTTTTGAGTTTATGTTAACTAGTGGGATCGGGAGCATGATCCTCTCAAATGCTTCAATCTTGGACGGAATAGGCCCCTATACCCTCGCTTGTTTTAGCTGCTCTTCGTTTACCGACTGTAGTTGGGGATCGATCCTAATATACTTTTTGTTCTTTGATTAATGTCACTGCGATATGTATAATACAACATTATTACATATCAAAGGAAACACTGACTACTGAATATTTTGTTATAAAACAATCAGTGTGAAGTGCGTTTTTATGTTATTTTTAACTGGATATTTGGATCTTTGTTTTAATATTACAGGTGGCAAATGCATGTAAAAAACATGGAGGCTTTTATCTAGGTTCAATTGGTGGTCCAGCTGCAATTCTTGCTCAGAATTGTATAAAAAAAGTTGAAGTTCTTGAATATCCTGAACTAGGTGTGTTAAATATCTTATTAAATTAAGCTATTGTTTTATTTTGAGAATTTTCATCACTTAAACTAATTCTTTGTAATTGATAATTTAGGGAAGAGAATTTTTATTTTTAATCTGTTCAATCTTGACAAGTAGGCTTATCTATAAAACTTAAATTGTCGATTATCTAACAGTCAAATTTATTCAAGATTCTCTTCATATATGTATTAAGTTATTGTTGTTCCTTAAATTGAAAAGGTTTTATCACGTAGGTTTTTTTTTAAATATTAAACTGTAGAAACAGTATAGAAAATTCGACTTGATCTTAATTTTTGTAAGTTGAGACAAGTCATACCCTTGTTACTTGTTTTACGTTCAAGGAAGCTGCTTTAGTTAGGTTCATCATTAGCAATCAAGTCAGAATTTCATATGTCGCCATATTTGTTTAATAAATCGTCGCGCTTTTTCAAAAAAACAGATGCAGTTTAAACTACTGTGTTCCTTGTGACTATTGCGTCAAGATGTCCATTTTTTAGTCACGGTAGCTACTTTTCTAAGTACTAATCTTCATTACTATTTTTGTTATTTCCTATTAAGAGGAAAGAGAATGAATAATTCCAGTGTCATAATTGAAATTGCAAGAATCCTCATTACTACACAGGTATCTGCTCAAATATCATCTGTAACACAGTAAATAAATTTCATGTTTACTTTTTTTTAACTATATGCTTCATTCAGCTGTTATGCCGTGGTAATACATTTATAAACACCTTATGTTGTTTCTCTGTACATGGAACTTGTTAGGTGTTTATATATATTTCAAAGGCGTCATAAATAATCTAGTCTGGCTAATATCGCACTTTATCTTGGTGTTAACCCATCAGAACTGACCCGACTGTAGCTATTCGCCACCATGTTTCCTGTTGTTAATTAGGCCTGTCAGCAGTCGTATACTGATTTTAGATAAGTTTTAAGTTATATTTTAAAAAGATCCACATATTTGATATCAGAATAATATAATCTTCAAGAAAATAATTATTGTACATGGTTCTATATCATGGGTCATTGTCGAAGCTGTGTATTAATGATCTAAGGTGTCACACAAATTGTTACCAACGGCTTAATTTTAATTATTTTGTGTGTGCAGTCAATATTATCACTGTATCCTTTTGTTTCGAATTAACAATAATATTCATACTCATGGTTAATAAAATACTAGGCTCAATAGTTTTATTGATTGTAGATTAATTCATTCATCTTTTCATTTTCTATAAGAATTTCTAACATATGGCAACACTTTTTCATATTTTCTGTTTAATAATGATTATTATTTTCGTGTAACGTTTGAAAAAGGTACGTTTTACTCCTTGTTTTGTTTTTTTTTCATTCTGACTGTTCATTCAATTGATTATATATATATTTATTGTTTCAGGAATGGAGGCCATTTGGCGTGTTGAAGTTGTGGATTTTCCTGCTTTCATAGTTATCGATGATAAAGGCAATGATTTCTTTAAAGAATGGCAAGTAGAATGAAAAAGAAACTAATTGGCGAAATACTTTTAAAAAATATCTGAAAGTTTTTCTTTCTAATTTCATTTATTGGTTTATCAATTTATCTGGTCATATCTATTTTCATTGTTTAATTTTTTTGTTGGAACTTGTTCTTTAATTGTGAATACAAGTCATTCACAATATACAGCTACTCAGGTGTGTTATCTTAGTGTCAGATGTTAAGCAATTAATTGATTTGATGACTGTAATCTTCTGTGCTATTTTTTTAAAACTTCACTTATTTCATTAAAATAAAACCATCTTAACTGAATCAATATTTCAGTTGTCTTACAACGGGGTCGGTTTCTTACAGTCTGCAAACATTGGTTGACTAAATTTAATATTTTTATGTATAAATTATTTTAAGGCATCTTTACGAGGAAGCAATATAGTTAGTTAATTTACGTAAATGAAAATGATCGAGACCATTTTTCACAATCGTTTATTATTTAATTTAACTTGGGACATTGATTCGAATATTAATGTGGAAGTAGGGTCACTGTTACTGGACGAAATTCGGTCCCATCATAAAATATTTTTTTCCAAACAGCTTAACTTGGCTGTTGTTTTAATTTCAGGTACATTTAGTGAATATTGAGTTTTATATCCTAATGGTGTACTTTTCTAGTAAAATAACCCAACATTGACATCTTGAGTCATCATGACAGGTTTTCTAAGTCTGAGTTCTTGACAAAATCCACTGGTATTTACGTGTGAGCAGCGTTAAAATATTGGTATTTTCTAAAGTAAAAATATATGTAGATAAATATAAGCAGACGTGGATAGTGGCTAGAAGTGGAATTCAGGACTCGCGTTTCGTCGTACTTGGGACAAATCAGCTGGATGTACCGGCATTTCAGAGTTGATGTTCACTCTGGCACTCGAACTCAGTACCGTTCGCTTCAAACACCAGCACGTTATCCACTTAGCTACTGAGTCCTGATAACCACTTGCTTGTACAATGGGGTGAAGTTTAAATTCACTTCATATTGTTTATTTTAATCTTTCCATTGATGTTTATTACTGCAATTGATCAGTCTCTTATTGACAAATGTGCTATCTTTTGATGATTACCTCGATATTGTCTTATAATGTGAATTAAGGCAATACGCACAGTATGCACATATGCCAATAAGAGACTGATCGATTGCAGTCCTATACATCAATGGGAAGATTCAAGTAAACAATACGAAGTGAATTTATGTAGACAACTGTTGGTGTGAATTTCATGTAGCGCTCTTATAACTACTGGGAGTTTTGAGTACTAGAGTAGGCACACATGAACTTCTCAAATAAGCACAATGCGAAGTTGCGGTTAGCACTTTCTATTTTGAAGAAGCTGTGCGTAATTGGGATTCGTAGCCATTTCTAAACTCACTTGTACTCATGTGAGGGTGTATTTCGTACTATTAAAGTTGTAATATGTTATGTTTGAAAGCTCACGAGTTCACTTAAACTGCGAACGAGAACAATACTCAGTGACCAAAGACCAGTGATCTAACTATTGACGCGTCCCAGCCCCGCTATCTAGAAGAAGAAGTCCAGGCTTGGTATGGAAAATATATTCTGCAACAGCCAACACTAATCAATGAGTTCATTAATTGACCTATTTGCACATTTAATCGATAGTTCATCAATTGACCTATTTGCACATCTAATTGATAGGCTCATCAACTGACTGCTATTCAAACATTTAATCGATCAGTTCATCAATTGACCCCAATACAAATATTTAAACATTTAATCAACAAGTTGATCGATGCGATAAAATTTAAAGTCAGAGTTTGGGGATCTATCGTCCCCAACATAATAGTAGGTAGACTAGGATCAGTCTTTTTTATAGGTGGCAATCCTCTGAGCTTCTCATGTACATGTAAGATGTGGTTGAGTTTGCTTGCGTCAGTAGTTATTTATATATGGTAGTTGGTGATCAGTGCAGGTGTATATCGGCTTTTTACATGCCAGTGGATAATTCTAATAAAGGAAGTTTGAACCATTTTAAGTAGTCATTATTGGATATTTGTATTTCCCGATTCACATGTATGGTGAAACTTAAAATTGTTGGAATATAATATGTATAGATTATAGAGTTGAGGATTAGGTTAAGTGTATAGCTTACATATGTTTCCAGCAAAAATGTACTAATGTCTTTTGAGTATCGGGGGAAATTAGCCTCTTGTGGTTCACTTTTTTTCTTGTCAATTTCTTGAGGATTTTATGTCATTCCTTGAAGAAGATTTATGTTGTCCTAATCTAACTGGCTTTGATGGTTAACATGAGGATATTGGTATTTGATGAATATTTTAATTCAATAAATACTTATCTCATGGATTAGCTTGATTACATAAATAATGGTTTAATTATTTTGTTGGATAAATCCCAAAGTTATTAGGTAGATAACGTTAACACACGAACAATTTGTGAGGAAAACCAATAACTTGATCGAAAATTATCAGTCATTTGAAGGAGAACTATAATTCAAGATAAATATGATAGACCAAGTTTATCTTTAACAAAATTATGTATTGGTCATCGGCAATCTAATTAAGGAAAGCAAAGAAAGAGAAATTAATCTATCCAATCTATAGGTCATCTACAACTGATCGATTATTGATTGGTAATTTCACATTCTAATGAGCAGCTTTAGTTGTTCTATTATTCGTGATGTGGGATTAGTTTTCTTCACATTTATAACGTGAAATGATTAATTACATGTTTTGTTTTCCGAAATGTCATACAGATTACTCGAGATATTGCTCAGTCTTAACACAACCACAAATATTCTGTTATTAAGCAAAGAAAGGGGATTTATGCAGTCAAGAATATCTCACGACAATTAAGGGCAGTTTTCAGAATCATATGAACTTTCATCAGGGGAAAAAACTTCGAGGTGTCGATTAATCAATGTAAAGGTCAACTATGTAAAATATATTATACAGGAACTGCTGTTACTAAACTAATATTCGTTTTGTGCTCTATTCAGTAAACAGCATATTTCTGCAAAATTGTTTCATTTTTTAAGAAAAAACTTAATTGTATGTCAGTCATAATTGACCTCCTATCAGTTAAAGTAAGTTGGTTTTATTTACATTGGAGTTTACAAATGACGTAACAACAACTGTGTTTTGAAAGGTAAACAATAATAATATCTAAAAGTAACTGTGAAAAGATTGGTAATTCATAATGCTGGAAGATTATATATGCGTATATTTGAGAATTTAAATTCGATAATACAAGTGGAGTTGTCAATCACAGATATTTTGTTTCAGTGCTCTTATTCTATTAAATTACTTAGATAGATAAAACAGTTCTGAGATAAATGTAAGTTTATAAACCTGAAAAAAGTTATCATTCATAATCTATAATGCCAAGTAAAAAACTGTCAACTAATATTTTCTGATTAAAATATATTAATGAAATTAAGTGATAGTCTCAATTGATTGGTCACTGGGTGTTGATCAATGTCATGTGTGTCAAGTCCTTCTTAGTGCAGATCGAATGCTATCGACAAAGTTGCAATGTGGCCACTAGTCTAGGTGACTCGACATTACGTGCACTATGCTGAGATTAGATGGTGGTTGGAGGTAGTCAACAGGAAACCCGGGTTTCGTGCTGCTTGGCACTCGTCAGCAAGGTGTATCTGTTATCTTGCAACTTGGACGATAGCATTACATCTGCACTAAGAAGGCCTTGACACACACGACATTGATCACCACCCAGTGATCAATCAATTGTGAGAACATCCCAGTCCTACAGGAGGTTGGTTGCGGTCTGGATAGCCCAGCGATAACGTCTCTGATTGTGAAGCTGGGTGACACGAAGTCGGATCCGTCAGGGAGCACCAGTTCCCTCAAGATTACAGGTACACCTTGCTGATGAGTGCCAAGTAGCACGAAACTCGGGTCCAGGGTTTCCTGTTAACTACATCCAATCACCATCTTAGTGATAGTACCTCTGATATTGACTAATATTGTAATATCAGCGATAGGAAATATTTATGAGAACGAAAAGATTAGGAGGACTGTACTATTTGTAAGATCTATAGGTCATAGCTTTGACTGTATTTACAATCATTAGGTAACATTGCTAAGAGGCCAAAAATTATAATGAAGCAACGTTTTACGTTTTTTGTTTAGTTTCTAAGTGGATGAAAACTGCCTAGAAAAGTCATATTTAAATGTATTGATACTGTTTCATTTCAACTATGCTATAACCGGTAAGAATAATTCTCTTTTAAAAAAATAGATTGTATGAACTGAAGAATTTGAGAATTCATGGAACGCCGCTTTATCTGTAAACTTGATATCCTTTTCGTGAATACTGTTTCCAATTATATGATGCGTTTTGTAAGCAATTAGAAGATAAATGTCAATTTATAAAAACTACCCATTTACTTTAATTTACATTATGATATAATTTTATCAGGTAGTTATGTTAATAATACACAAAATAATATTGGTAATCACAATTTATCCGTGCTACATAGACATAAATTACTGATTTAAATTTGTAAGATAAATATTTTTATCTTTTTTTAGCTATAGAGAAATGATATTTCTAAAAATTTAATTAATTTCGAACTATAAACGTTATTCATGTTGCTATGCAGAGAAATATTGAGATGGTGGAGAAGATTTGTAGCTCAGGTGGACGATTTTGATGTTTTGTTCTCTCATCTAGATGATTTGGTTGTGGAGCTTTCATCGTTCTTCTGAACGATAGAAGTCTATCTATCTGAAGTTTGTGCTGATGATGTCGTTCAAACGAACAATGAAAGCTCCGCGACCGAACCATCCAGCTGAGAGAACAAAACTCCAGCAGAGAAATATACTTATCATAATTTTATATAGTAGCTAATAATGAACGTTATTAGTAACTACTTTTTAATAAAAGGATAAAGTTATCTATATTGACATATAAATTTTTGAAGAGATAGACATAATTTATTATGACAATAATTCATAGTTTGATATTTTCTCTAAAATTTTAGATAAACATTTTGATTCTTTTATTTTGTATTTAAATATCAATATACTAGTATCCGTTTTTTAGTATACGACGAATACAAGAGAAGTTGTGTTCTGATCTTTTATTATGATAAATTCTTTGGTAACAGTATAACGTAGGGGTGATCTTGAAAAGGAAAAAAAAAGAAAACGCCACAAACTCTTAACTAGTTAATCAATCAGAGAATAATTTTGATCAGTGAATAGATTATGAAAAATAATCAAAAATATTTCGAAGGGTAAATAGATTTTATATAATTAATGAATGTACTAGAGTGTTCTAAAAGTTATTCTGTCAAAACAATAGAAAAAAATAACATAAATTCGCCCATAAATATAAAAAATATCTTATCGTGATCATGAAACGATCTAGGTTAGACAAATGTTGAAAAACTGGAAGCAGTGGACGACAGTATTGGAAATTGATTAAAGTCAGACTTGAACACCATTGGATGCCGCCTCAGTGGTTTGAAGGATAAGTGTTCGTGCGTGAGATCGAAGGTTTTGGGTCCCAACTGTGTGGTCGTCGATACACACTGTTTGGTAGCTCCATAATGAAACGAAACAGCTGTTCAGTGCCTCCAAATTTCTAATACTGTTCTAATTGAGATCGATTTGTGTCCCAATGAAATTCAACACTAAAAATCCTTATTGATAAAGAAGGTATGTCTGCTCAAACCCTCATAAAAACCTAGTTAGATTTTCTCAACTCCTCACATTGTAGAAGAATGAAGGCAATTCAGGTAATAAAATTTTCTTCCCTATGGTTTCATTTACTTAAACTGTACAATCGTATCTATGGTTAATTCTATTTGCTATAGTATATAGCAAGACAGAATATTATTGAAAGATGAAAAAATAAGAATTTGAAGTGGTATCCTGTCATTGATTTTTTACAAGACTCACATATTGAAGGGAAATTACGTAATTAATGGTCGTAAAAATAATTGAAAATGAGTAGAAATAATAATTTTAAAAAAATGTACGATGGAAGATAGGAATAAAGGCTAAGATAATGAAAGAATGAGGGACTGAACACTCTGTTTTCGTACGCAAATTTTAGGCTTGAACTGGTGAATAGCAATAATTTCTGCATTCCTCTTGAGCCGACTTTTGATTATATGTATGCTTTTGAAGGAGGCTCTTGGTAAGGTAGAGCGATCAACACTAACTAGATGTTCAAAGATTGAGTTTTTGACTTCTGTAATTCTTTCGAAAGCCAAGAAGAGTAATATTCGGAGATGCGTTTTGAAAGAGCTCGCTTTGTGCGGCAAATGTTATCTGTTCCATGTGAACAAGTAAACTGATAGATGTACATTGATTTGACACAAAGAGAAAGCTTATACTTCACACAACTATGAATCAGATGCCAACCAGAAAAGACAATCAGAAGTTCGGCCGAATAGAATGTTTTTTCATGTAGATCTCAAAAGTATTTTTATCGGAAATTTAGGTGAAGCATCTCTGAACTGAATGTTCATGACGAGAGTCTTCTTTGATTCTATGGAGGATCTTTCACGTCGTTGTTTTAGCTTCAGATTTTTCAAAATGAATCTAGATGTATATCTACTACTGTTCAGTATCTGGCATAGTTTACCAAGTTTGATATTGATGGTATCTTCGGTGCAGATCCGTCTAACCCTTGCGCAGGAAGAACGAATCAGATTTTTTTTTGCTTCAATGGTACTCAACTCTAAAAGTTCATATATTGATCATTTCATGTATGGTTAAGATATACTGACGTTTGTAGTGAACCACCAGGTCCAATTTTTACCAAAGCATCTAAGATGTGGAATTCTGGATCCGACAATGATTCGGTTGTAAACCTAATTGATTCATGACAGTTACTAAACTCGCCCAGAATGTCACTGAAATTTCCGATTTTCGTCACAAATAATGAAATTATCATCTAAGTACCACTTGTATAGACAGAAGTTGTCAGTTTTCGATCCAAATGTAGTGTTTTCGTGATTCGCAAGTCATACGAGTGGTGAGCCCATCGTCAGGCCGTCGGTTTGCCTTTAGAACTCACTATATTTAAATTGGACTTTGCAAGTGCATGAAAAAAGTGGTCCTTTCAGGTAGTGTATTGGGACACCGCCATCGAGTTTGCGTTAGAAGTAGATTTGTGAAAGAGAGGTAATAGTGAGATCATCTTTCCTGTTACGTTGACACTTGATTTCGAATTAACAGAATCAAACCAATCAAGAATGATGTGTCTATTGAGTTTATTTTTGGTTGGCCGTAGAATTTCAGCTAGCCATTTAGCAATGGCACGATATGGTGACTTATTCATATCCAGTATGGGACGTAGATGGACATCTTTCTTATGTAATTTAAGGTGGCCACATAATCGTGGAATAATTAATCCAGTCGGTTTAAGTTTCTCATAGAAGTCTTCACTGATTAATCATTTTATAACTGATGGGAGTAGAGAGATTTCTTTTCTAAGTTTAAATTATCTTTAACAGAGTGCATTATGCAAATGTCGAGGTTTATAATATAATATATGTCTATTTGTTTATATAACACTGACAAGAGTTACAGTTGTGACTGAAATAAAAATAATCATCGTAAGTGTTACTCAGATTTCACTTGTTATGTAATGTACACATTGTCTTAAATGATCATTGAAATTTTAAAGAAATTGTTTTTAAAATATGTCTAATTGATATGAAGTCTTTAGAACAATAAAAGTAATAGTTATAATTCATCTTAATTGTATTCGAATATAAGTATCTTATGCTTTATAACAGGGATTTAATATAGTAATGCATTTGTATTGTACATCATAACTAGTAATTTGGTAGAAAACAAATTGATATAGTTTGACACTATAGGTTACAAGATTTGCAGTTTGTGATTAATACCATATTGCGATATTATAAACGAAGGTGTTCATGGGTGGCCTATTTCCTCCACGA